TGAAACCACACTGGCGTTTGGAGTGGCATTGAGTGTGGGTTTGTGCAAAGTGCAATCAGTTGATAATTGTGGAACTGTACAACATTCGACGCAGAATTGTTCATGAATGGTTTGTTGTAGGTACCTACGTAACACCTTACGTGGTATAAGGTTTTTGTTGTAGGTTGGATGTAAGGTAGAACGACAGACTAATAACTGATGTCGAATTGAGAATTCGGACTTCTTGTGGACACCTATCAATTACCGATTGCGATTTCTGATATTCCCAACCCATTCTCCCAGACAATGCCTAATGCAATATTGCGAGTAGTTAGTACATTTACGCATTTCTCTTTATTGCCTGTTCAGACTGATCATTATATTGTTTTGTGGAAATACCGCTCTGGCTTTTGGTATTGTTTGATGATGACGGTGTATTAAAAAATCTTTAAAACCTAAGACGTCGGCATGTTCGTGCTATTCTGAATGAAGCTTGCATTACTTTGCTATCTCCTTATTCTCTTAATCGACGCAAGTTTTTTTACGATCTGTTGGTGCCTAATTGTCTTCATGTGATCAATGAGGTAATCACCTCATCCAAAGCTTCTATATTCCGTAGCAAATATTTCATTTACTCTATCGATCGATCCTATGCACAGAGGGTCATTTAACCGCACACTGAGGCGTCCTTTTGTCACTTGTAGTTTCTAATGAATGTGGTTAATTTGGCATTGTCAAATTTAATATTTACCAACATAAATAATCGATCTTCAGTTCAAGTGTCCACCACAGCTCATATGCACCTGCAGCGAATCATGGTTTAAAGACGCTGTGAATTACGCCATACAGCAATAAAGGAAATTGCTGAATTTTTAATCCGGCCGATCGTGCTCTGAGACATCACTTAAATCTTTACGCGATAAAGCTAAGAACCTCAAAGCAGAAACATTTCCGCATTGCTATATGGCATATACTATGGACTAATGTTTATTGTAGTGGTCATAGCCTCGTCCAAGGTATTTAGGTGGGCATGAACAAGACTGTCGATTTATTGCAGTTGGCTTGCATCCGGAACTGGGACTTCACAATAGTGTTTTCATTGGCATTGCGCATGGAATCGGACGAAAAACACTATCGTTTGTGATTTCGAGGTCCTGCATATTTGGAAATGGCAGATTTGGCCATCAGTCTTGTAAAATTAGCCATTTTAAAACCCTAACTTTTGTTCCTCATCTCACTTACCGATAGTCTCAGCCGCTGATTCCGAAAGACAATTTACAAAACTTTAAGATTGTACCCTGGATAGGCCACAAATAATACTACCAGATTTTGAGGACATGTCTCTAGTGAGATCCTTTTGGTTTGCCTTGGTTAATGTCTAGGAGCTATCTCTGCTAAATGTGAAATAACCAAGCAAAATTGGAATTCTAACCAGTTCATGTGGAACCAGCAGATACATCTCCTTGAAGTATGGATAGTCACCCATTTTCATTGGAGACTAAAATTATAGTCTACAACAAGGCAGCCGTTACTTAAACTATTGCAAAAGTGAGGGTGACGTCTTAGTCAGGGTTTGAATTTTCCTTTGAAGCGGGATTCGCATGTCTGCCTTGAGATTAAGTACACAGCCACTGCGTGTAATTATGGCAATATTTCACGCCATTGTCCCTTATTTGTTTAACGTATTGACTGTTAGCAAATAAGGTAATGCAGAAGAAAGTCACATTGACGCAAAAATGTCTGATCCAGATCAAAACAGCCTTGAGATTGCGTGTGAGTCGGTTGTAGTCGTAACCAATAAGTCGTTCTGTGCACTGTTAGTAAAATGGCTATTACAGACTAGCCCATGCTGTTAAATAAAAGCATGTCTTTTCTAACAGCAGAGGTAGATAAAGAGCGGTGCTTAAGCTGCCACGTTGGAATTACATGGGATAAAATACTGTTCTGCCTGGGAGGGAAAACGGATTGATTGAAGCCTGTCCAGATAGTAACTTGAGACCGCTCAGTACGACCATGGGATCATGTGGATTTGAGACCGTCTCGGTCTGGTGGCTGTGTGTAGTTTGCGCCAGAATACCATTTGACTAGGCCAATGAAATGGTTGGAAGCATTTTGCTGTCAATCAGCTGTTTTCAATGGAATCGTTTGTCTTCTGTTTGGATTAGGATCGAAGCGTTATATGTATTAATTGGGATCATTTACTTGTAGTTTTGCTTTAATACTCTTTTGATAAGACAAATTTTCACAAATTACCTTAATTCATGGCTTCCTTTTGGATTAGCCGTATTGCGTGGTGCGTTTAATGTCGTCAGATCTCTGAAATTATGCAAAGTTTAGTGTCTGCTAAAAACACTTCAATTCACCACTTCTGTCAAATAGTGATTAAATTTAACAGTATTTTTTTCTATTTAGTTGGAATATGAACAGCTGTCCTCCTCTTTCTGTTCGGAACCTCATCCTTGGTTTGCTCGTACTGTTCGCTTGTCTGTACGTTTGGTTCTCGTCAGTTTTTCTCCACCTCTGGACACCTCAGAGTCAAGGTGAGGTTCTTGGCGGTCTAGCTTTCGATGCGCCAGAAGAGCAGTCTGTGTCTACTTATTGTTCTCACTCTAGTAGTCACTTATGACGCAACATTGCGGATCGATTCGTTTTCGGAACCACGCAGTGTTTTCCACTCCAACAAGAAGTTGGAAACAGAAATTCGCGAGATGATGAGAATTCATGCGTCAATGAACAATGAAATGGTTCTCATCGAGCAGACTCGTCGTTCGTTGATACGCTCGAGGTATGAACTCGAGGCCCAGGTTATGCGCCTGCGAACCGATGCTGCTGTTGCTGAACAGCATTTACTCCGCCTACAGGTGAATGCTGATAAATCTATCTGAATTTGCCGCACATTTTAAACTTGGGTTTTCAGTGGCCTTCCACAAAACCCACATCAGTCTCGGTGTCTTGGCTTCACTGTTAGAGGTACCTAAGTGTCCTCCTTTGTCGTATTCTTCGTGGGATGACTGTGGTCTCTTCGCTCTACTGAAAACGCTAATTTTTTTACACTCCATGCTCAATTACCAAAGAGACTTCGTTGAAATTGTCTCGCAATTGGTGCAAATACACCAAGACATTTTGCTCTTCGAGGTTTTATTCGTAGAACTTAGTCCACAAGCAGCCAGTGAGTAGCTTTGTCGCAGTACTTTGATGTTGTGTAGTTTTAGGTCCGAACTACCTTCATGCAGAAAGTGACTAAAAATATCACTTTTTTGTAAAATAATATACTTCAGGAGCTTTGAATGAGGTCTAATTTATTCTGCTTGCCTTGCTCTCTAGCAGAATGTTTTTATTTCCAGACTACATTGGCGTCGTACCAGAAGGCAGCCGCCTTTCTCTCAGTTAATTCATCCAATTCGTACAAGCTTGCTCCTCTTTCTGTCGTTGTTTCCGCCTCACCCTCCACACCGTCCAGTGGCTGTGATATGTCCACCTGCTTCAATTGGACCGCTTGTCCATTCCACTCCCTATCTCATCTTCGCGTTTGTTTCCATCACGAAAGTGCTATTTCGGACTCCCGTTGGCACCGGGCTCTCCTAACTTCCCCACACTTTTCTACTTCCTGTAAAAATGCATGCGTGCGGGTTATTTTCGCACCAGAAAATTGTACAGGCATCTCGTGCCTTTACATCGGTACTACGAAAGACACAATGAGTCCCTACGTTATGCGAGCATCGTCCACGCGTGGAGTGGTTCGTCCTGGCTACGACTTTGTTTTGAGTCCCCTAGTTAACTCAACCTCCGAGCGACCTCCGATGGTGGTGAATCGACGAGCGAGGTGGCTCTTGGGCGCATCACTCGGCACCTCGGGCCCCGCAGATGGCAAGGCGGCCTTTTTGATGGCGTTAAGGGCTGATGCCGACGCCGGCAACTTGGTGAATGTGAGATTAAGAAATGCATCGGATGAGTGTTTGACCTCCAGTGAGGCGTTGTTTCATGGCACCTGGCGACCGTGTCACGATTCCAATATGGTAAGTTAGTTACGCTCATAAACCAGTCTAAGTTGATATTTCCCTTGCCACTGCACTCAACTTCTACACGATTATGCGTTCTGTTTAAAATGACGTTTAATTTTTGATGGGCTAGTGTTTTTCGTAACTGGTTGGGTTACTGGCGATGAATCACAGCGCCTATTGCTAGTACGCGCAACCTGATTTCTGATTACTCATAACAATATGAATTTTTACATTCTGACCAGTTAATCCACAATCTTCCTTGCTTTGCCCTTTTTGTTTGTGGCAACTCTGACATAGTCACATGTAGACGTCAAGGGCAATTAAATCATGTAAAAGATTCGCATCATACTATGAACCAACGTTCAGTCTACATCGGTCAATTTTCATCAACGGTCGCCAGCTGTCATAATTTTTTTGAAGTGTGATGTCTTTTGCGACTTGTCAAGTTTTTTGTGGCCATAAACGACACAAGTTTTAAGCGGCCACTACACCTCACACTTCAAACTCACTAATCCTCATCGCATATGCACTAATTGTTACATTGGCAACAAACATGACTATTCTGATTGCCTTTTACTTGAGAGAGTCGGGACTCAAATAGTCACGAAATCCATTTTACTTCCTAGGTCTTAGGAAATTCCACCTTCTGCCTGCTCGTCGACAATCTGGGAACCAATCCCGCTGATAATAACAGCGGCGAACTAGGAGAGCAATTGGCAACCTGTTTGTCAAACGGCGCGGTCCCTGTTTTTGCTTCTAACGGTGCCGAATCGCGGCTGTTCCCTTTTTGGGAAGTATTGGAACCACAGTGGCGGCAGGCTGTAATTTTTATTCCCCGCGCCAGACTGCCCCATTTAGTTTATTTTCTCAAGACCGTTGACGAAAACACTCGGATTGAGATGCAGCTGCAGGTATGTCTGAGATCTCATTTTGTTTCATTATCGCTGCAAGTTACTGGAAAGCAAATGTGCCAAATTATTATAACGTTTGTTTACAGGGTCAAAGGATCTGGCGAAAATACCTGAACACTGCTGCAGCCCAGTTGGCAACCCTGTTTCTTGCGCTGAGCCGTCGCCTTGGTTTGCCGCAGCCCCCGGCTCCCGTGACCAAGTCCGTGCCTGCTTTCAGGTCGGGAAGTTTCCATCCAGAGCGATTCTACAAGCCGAGAGCACAAGTTCTATCACAGGTCGATGTTGACGGTCTTCTGGGACCTCTAGGTCCCCAATGGGACTCCCCGCCTGCTGTGCAGTCGGTTTTCACGCACTCATCTCTCGCAGATCCCTTTTGGCGACACCCAAGTACTCCCTTCACCACCCAACCTCTGCCTACCGAGTTTCAATTTATCGAGGGTACTTACTGGTGTCTGCTGATGTCTGTTTCCTGTAATGCTTTTTGCTTATAACATTTTGGGATAGATGGTATGGCAGTGTAATTTCGACCGTTTAAAAAGACTCAGCTATTCCGAATAAGCTATTTATGGGCAAACAAAAGCTGAGAAAAGAAGAGATTTTCCACTCACGTTTCACAGCACCTGCAAATTCGTTTTTAGGTGGAACAAATATGCTTAATATTAGGGACATTTATCTTTAGTAATTTATTTTCAGTAGACCCATTCGTTTTGTTGGTGCCTCTACAACTGTCCAATAGGGATTCATGGTCTCCCTTGCTTGTTTGCGTCTCCAAAAATGACATGTGCTGATATCCGTCAATTGGGCTCTTTTAGGTGCTACTTCCAACTTCAGGCCGATCAATCACACTTGGAATACGGCAGGCAAGGAGTTCGCTGCCGATCTTGGCGGAATGTTTCCCTACGAGCAGTTCACGAGTAGGTTTCGCGACCAATGTTTCTTTCCTCACTTCGTGCTTGATCGTTGACCTCTCTGCGATTGGAAGGTGGTATAAAAAAGCCCCTCCTCTGTTTGTATTGATAGTTGATCTTCCTATTGAGATATTTTTTCACTGGTGACTTAAGATCAAGTTAAATACGTCTCGTTAATTTCACACACAATTACCTTTTAGTTATCATGACTCAGGAAACACTTTCTCGAACCGTTATCTTGTCAAATTGGTTTTCTTTGCAAAATAAGAATTTCTGCTTTTCCAGAGACTTAATACTTTTCAGAAACAGTCAAAATTTTGAATAAGTCTTTCTAGTGATAAGTTCCGTCGGAAAATCCATCCCCTACTTAAATGGAAGGTCTTTGTGGTGGTAATTTCCAGTGGCCTGAGTCCTGTATAGATATCCAGGCATACATTTTCTGCTCCGAACCGTTTGTTAAACCAGATTTGACAGTCGTGTCCTGAGTGGTGTGGTTGTGGTCATGCATCGATTGTCACAAACAACCAAAAGTTTGCATTTCGCCAACTCCAGCCCTGATCTCGCAGGTTTGCGTGGAGTATACTTGCACTTGATCAAAATTTGCATCTAAAAGTACCATTCCAAGCGGAAATATAAAAGACATTAATTGCTGAGGGATACACGAACATCGTTGGGCTGTAAGATTCGCCCATTTGGAACACAAGGACAAAAGGCTACTGGTCGATAGATCTGTGTCCTAATACCAAGCAATGAATCACCCCTTCCGTCCATCCTGAAAAAAGTGCTGGTGTGCCAGCGTATTTTTTGAATGAGACAGTCTTTAACCCATGATGCTTTGGAGATGTAGCGATATCAAATGTAAATTTCTAAAAGTGGCCGACGTCACATTATTCGAGCTGTCATTCTAAGGTTTCCTTATTGTTTATGTGTGTATGTGTAGTGTCAAGGTTTCCGCAGTTTTAATGGTTCCCGAGTTGATTTCGAGTAATGTCTTATTCTAATATAATTTAGGCAGCGGCCAAGAGATCAAGAAGGCGATCATGCGTATTAAATTTTCAGTGCTACTGTCTCTTTCAGTTGTGGTTCTCACGTACGACCGTGAGTCAGTCCTAACAGTGATACTGGAGGGCTTCATGAATCTCCCATACCTTCACTCTGTCGTAGTGGTTTGGAACAATCCGCAGCCTCCCTCCAGCAATCTACTATGGCCAGAACTTCATGTCCCCATTTACGTAGGTCCCTTTTTTGTCACATTTGTGCTCTCTGAATCCGCATTGTTGATGCTATGACAATTGATTGACCTTTGAACTGTAAGTTGTATCACTTAACTGTAGGTAGCAGGGTCGTGTTACTTATGCACGTTCTCTTTAAGACTGCAAACGAGAGCGTGTGCATTAAACCTACCTTGATCTATGTGGGATGATTCTAGCAAGTGGGAAATAAAGATCAACGGTGGTATTGGTCAGACCCTTTTCGAATCCTTGGTGAATCCATGTGTCGATGCACCACTAATTAAATAAATATGATGTTTCATATCTCACACGAATTTCATTATTCCTCTTTAGGTTGTTCGAACCAACAAAAACAGCCTGAATAATCGTTTTCTTCCCTTTGACATAATCAAGACTGAAGCCCTTCTTATGCTCGATGACGACGTAACTCTCCGCCATGATGAAATAATTCTTGCATTCCGGTGAGAGTTTGCATTCTTTTACTGAAATTAGGTATCGGTCCTAGAACTTAGGCGTTAACACCGCACTCCACATATGTAATTTACAGTGTAACTGATTCAATAAAATTAATGTCGCTCTCCATGCATTGCATTTTGGATTTTTCGTTAGTGGTTATTGCCTAATAGCATTTTTATTTATGTGTCAGAGAATCATTAAATTTATGTAAGAATCTGTAATAGCAGTTCTGTGTTTCCTCAACTTGGTGCAGTTTGCAGCCACCAACGCACTGACAAAAGCAGACAATGGGAAACGTCATGGCCTAGGTAGATAAAATGACAGGGTTCGTCGTTCTGGCATCGTCGTTCTCTTAAAAATGATATTCGGAGCTTTCCATCATTTTTTGTGACTATTATACTTTTAGAATTTGGCGCGAGAACCGTGACCGGATAGTTGGCTTCCCAGCAAGAGGTCACTTCTGGTCTTCGGCCAGCCAGAGTTGGTACTACAACAGCGCCCACGCCTGCGAATACTCAATGGTTTTAACGGGAGCAGCGTTCATACACCGAGTAGGAGCTCTTTTCCATTTATTGCGTATTCGAATTACTGCACCATTCGTTGTGGGCTAGTTGATTTGCGCTTTTAGATCAAATATGTGTGGTTGTGTTTTTTTACTTTGAGGCTGCTGATGTTTTCTCTAACCTAGCCTGGATCGTATTACCATATTTATCTAGCCAGGAGTCCCTCCTAAAACACGCCTTTTCTTTTACAAGAATTCCCGATGTTTGGAGTTCAATAACCAACTCGATGTAATGAAGTCTTTCCAGTTTCAGTGGTGTAATTTTTGCTATAGTTATTTGGGTGTCGTAAGGAGGTTCTGCTGTTTCGACTCAGTACGGCCATCCCATCCTAATTGTGAAATTACAATTTTATTTTCAATCACATGTTTAGTGCAACTGGTGTTAGAGCGTGCACCATATAAACCACTTTTATGTCGTGCTTAGCTTCGTAAACAACTATGTTAGAGAAAACACGCAACGTGTTACTGCTTGTAACGGTTTGACATAATTCCTCTCTTTCAGTACTATCTCCACGCCTACACAACCGAAATGCCCACGGAAATTCGCCAGAGAGTTGATGAAGAGTTGAATTGTGAGGACGTTGCAATGAATTTTCTGGTCTCCCACATCACGCGGAAGCCGCCAATAAAGGTAAGCAAGCTCACACAAACCTGCTTATGTATTGTCCCCCCAACATTTTCATGATTCGCTGCATCTACGCAGAAACCAGTTTGTATTTTACACTTATTCTTTGACAAAAGATCTATATTTTAGCCTTTTTATGACAAACGTTTTCTGTTATAATTCGCTTCAATCCACGATCATGTATGGTCAGAACATTCGGTTCCATTGTATATTAGCGCCGTAAGAAGTAATCAGAGGTAGTGCAGCGTCATGATTTTATTATTAAGGTGAAGCGGTGAGTCCATGGGATCACGCGTAGAATTTTCAGACAAGGGATCGGCAAAACTCTCCCATGGCGAATGTGGCTTTTATTCTATATGCCACAATTAGGCCGTTCCATTGCTGTTGGTGTGGATCTGCTATAACCTCTCAAGAATGTTATTGGAATAGCAATTTTCGGTGATTCGCCTAGCTCATCGTGTCACTATCATGAACCACATACAGGATCCGTCTAGGCTTAGTGTCTAAACTGCGATAATGTATTAGATTTTTCTGATGCTATATTTTGTGTGGCATTTCACACAAGCTTACTTTGTAGTGTCATTTTTGAATTTTGGATTCACTATTTAGCACTTCTTCAAAGTCCACAGTTTGCACCGAATCGCGAAAGTTTCTCATTTTGGCTAAAATTTCTTCCGTCTCGTCCTGTAGCATCTTGGTAATTGACGCATAAACCATTAAAGCCACCCACAACAATTCCACTTTCCCTGGTATCGCCCTAAGTACACTAGCAAAGATTTGCGTGTTCGATGTGTCCGCCAGCTGTGAAT